AACTTTAACGACAAGGAGGGTGAAGGAGACACCCACGACGCGCTCTTAACAAAAGGGAAGGGGAAATCAAAGGGTCACACATTAGGTTGTTTAGTTGGCTCTTTCTCAACCACTTCGTTCGAGGCTTCTTCTTCTGGGTCCCAAACAACGTATGGGTTCCCATATCTACATCGTTTTTGAAGAACAAGAACTCTATACGCTAATACTTAGGCCAACAGGAACGATGTGCTATCATGTTCTATTGGCGTATTTCATTCTGACAGATGTATCCCTTTCCGCTCCACTTTAGCAGGGCGGACACCACCCCAGGTCGGACGCTGGCATTCATTCCGCAAAAAGGAAGAGGCTGATATAGACGGGTCTGTCGGTGCCAGTGGTCTAGGTTTAAGTGGAACGGAGGCGGAGGACGTTAGCTGGCCTCAAGGCAAAGATGGGGAAGTTAATTGGGAAGAAGTATGGAGTAGTTCGGCCTCAAAGCATTCCCTGGCTTCTCCGCTCCTCTACGTTCCAGACGGCCTGCGTCAAACCGAGTGAGCCATTTCCGTAACCCGAAACACTCGGTACTTAACTGTTAACCCGAAGCCCATCCCAGGTTGAAACCATATTGACGCTCTCATCCCCACACCCCGACGAGCTCACGCGAACTATATCAAAATACCTGTCCTCCTCCGTTTCCAATACTCCTCATTACCTTTGCTTAATAGCAGCGCCCACGCATTTTGTGACTGGACGTGAAGTGACTTTGATTTTGGATGGCGAAATCTACAGCGAAGGGGCTGTCGGAGTTGCCTTCTTGCGGCATGAAGAACAGGCCAAAGTTTCTAAATCTAGGTCCCGCACGGAATTTCTGGGAGTCAAAACATTATCGCGGCCGATGAGTGTGACGAGGTGCGTTTGCTATACTTTCCCTCCATTTCGTGGTGCTAAAGACAGTGGGTATTCAGTCGCGAAGGAAACATGATAAACGAGCTTGACAAATCCAACCCCACACGTCTCCTTCTCAGTTCTCTTTCTGAGGCGGGAATATATTCCCCTTCCTCACAACGTTTACCACAATCGCCCGTCCCGGTCTTTAAAGATGAAGAACAATTCGCCCTTGGTGTGTTGGACGCGAAAGGACGGGTATGTCGACCTTTCCTTGACAGAACTTAATGACGAATTCTGCTTGCAACAGATCACGCGAGCCTACAAGATCACTGCGGGTGATCCCGCCTCTCGAGGTGGCAGCTTATCCTTAGACGCACCACGGGCTCCCGAAGTCGGCAGCGTTGTTCAGGTAAATTTGAATTTGGGCTTTTGAAATTGATACTTGACCACCACCATCCAGTTCCTCCATCAACAATCCGATGCACCTGTCGCGATTCCCGCCTCCCTCTTTCCTTCGATCAACTCATCTACCCCCAATTATGTTCTCGGCCTCCTAACGGTTCCTGAGCTGCTTTCTAGCAATAGCTCACTCGACAGCTCTCCTGATGATACCTCCATAACTGAGCCTCGAATTTTGGAAAATACCTTCCTGGTGCCGACCACAGGAGGATTTGTCGTTTCTGGAAAGCCGCAAGAAACGCCGAGCTCTTCAGATTCCGATCCCACATGGTCGTGTTCTATACCTGGTGGCATCACTACCATAGAATGGTCATAACGTAGCTTAAATATCCGACTATAGGTCTCAAATAATTCATTTTGCTGTGTGAGTGGTTTTGGGAACATTACACGCAATCCACTTTGGCGTAGAACTTACAGTCTGAGTATCGTATTGCGTGAGCTCAACTGCTCGATGCGGCGACCAGTGACTTTCTAGGTTTCTGCAGACATCGTCATCGTCCCGAAAAATGTTTATCGCAATTATGAAGCGCCGCTGAGTGTCCATACTTTGCCTTCCGGGAAATACTGCTGTATTTATTCGTTCGTTCGCCGCATCCTCCGTTTGTTTGTGGTCCTAAGACTGATTCCAGTTGCGGTTCGGGTTTTCTACATCGAATGGTCTGCTGAAACGCGATCAGTGGCACTTCTTTGATTTCTTCATCGTTTCTAATATCCATAATACCTGTGGTACAAATTTTGGTCAGCATTAAGACCCTCAACGAAAAAGCGCAGAGGGAGAATCAGTTAACGGTTTTCTAGGCCGCCACTCGTTGAGCGTAGTGCGTGACATCAATAGAGTCAGAGCCCAGTGCGTTTCATCACAAGGAAACTGTGAACTAAGAAGCAGTAACTTACCACAGTGCGCACGGTTTAGGTTGAAGAGCGCCTCGGTAAAACTTTTGATTCTGTCACTCCCTGTGTGGGACTAAAGCACCATCGGTTCGAATCGTCAGAAGAAGGAGATTAATTATAATCATTTCACATACCAATGGCACCGTCTGGGTAAACAGCGAAAGAGCGAATACCTCGGCGAAAGATTGCGGCAATAGACGCCTCGGCTTCTGTTTGTTCATTAGACGCAGGCACAAATTGGATCGCAATTTTCGACTGGTACTGCGTAGTCTATACCAGTGAGCACCATTTTAAATTGCATTCGCGAGATAGGCGGAGAGAGTCCTTTGTGCGCCAGATGACTCCTAGTTCATACCCAACGCCAAAAATGAGGGGGGTTATCACACACAAGATCTTCGTGACGATGCCAGGGGCCAGCAGCGAATGAACGGGTCGGACATAATAGATCGGGAGGTTTTTGTCAAGGACATGACCCTAACCCTAGCTCAGGTGTGACAGCAAGCGGTAGCAGGATTCCAAAACCAAGCGACGATGCCTAGAGAACGCAAGGAGAATGGACCTAGAATGCTTAACAGCGGCGAGCTCTATAACAATCAAGATCAACACTGCCAGTGAGCACTGAATTGTGATAATCATCCACACACCTCGGGATTGGTCAGGTTGTTTGACTGTGTAGGCCAGCGATAAAATAAGGTTCTTTCGTTCGTAGATCATCCGATATCAAGCTGATAATAAGGAAAAAAAAAGGGATCTTATCTGGCTAGAATAAGCACAGCCATTGTTGTGCGGCATTCATGATGGTGGTGGTCAATGCGTTGTAGCGGACTTTCAAAGGTGAGCCATGTTGACTATAGTTCAACTTTGAGTCGCGTAATTTCTCCCCTCCATTTCCTCCCTCTCAAATTTCCCTCCCCACCACAATGGAAGAAAAACGCGGGGGTTATCGTTTTGAATACGCTTCATCGGGAAGATCCAAATGCAAAGGTCTGATTATTTTATTCTCCTCCGCGTTGTGAAGTAGCGCTGACGATGTATTGTTGAATGTCTTGCCTTTGTATCGTCGTTGGTTGACTTCTAGGTCCCAAACCATGCAGCGGTATGCTCCCATAAATTATTCGAGTCATATATTATTTTTCTCATTCGACATTCTTCAGGAACTCTTATTAATAAAGGCGAGCTGAGATTTGGTACCCTGGTCGACATGAGGGGTATGACCAGCTTGTGAGCATGCCACGTAATTCCTGTGCGGTCTTGGGAAGCTCACAACAGCCTCCCACTAGCACCTGGAGGCATTGGGGATGCGTTACCCCCAAAATTATCGCCAATGTGAAGAAAAGTTTCGAGGACGCCTCTGAACTCGATGGTTATGAAGCCCTCACCCCAGAAGATCAGGCACGCGTCGTCAAGGCCTATCAAGAAGGCCATGTCGCCGAGGAGGATATTCCAGAGAGTGCAAGAAAGCCTGCGGGCGAGGAGGGCGAGGAGAAACCCAAGAAAGCTGGAAGGAAGAAGAAGGCCGATGACGATGAAGGCGAACCAGATGAGAAACCCAAGAAAGCGAAGGCGAGCACCTCCAAGGTTTGTATAATTTATAATTCAACTATATGACTAAACTCATTCCTGCAATGTAGAAGAAGGCCGCTGCAGCCAGCGATGCTGAGGAGGAGGAGGAGGAGGAGGAGGAGGAGAAGCCTAAAAGGAAAGCTCCCGCAAAGAAAGCCGCGGCTGAACCCAAAGAAAAGGCGGCGCCCAAGAAACGCGCTCCCAAGAAGAAGAAGGTATGAATGTCAAGAAATCAGTTCAAACAGTCGAACCTCATCTATTTTATTTCAGGCTGAATCAGATGATGAATCCGGCGAAGACTTCACCAAGGAGCTAGATGATGTCGCTCCTGGCTCCGATGAAGAAGAGGAACCTGAAGAGGAGAAGCCCAAGAAAAAGGCTCCTGCCAAAAAACCTGCTGAGAAGGCGAAGGCCGAGCCCAAAAAGAAGGCTGAACCCAAGGCGAAGAAAGAAAAGGCTCCCGCTAAGGAGAAGGCACCGGCGAAAGGAAAGGCACCCAAAGCTGCGAAGAAGACGGTAAAAATTCTTCTTCTTTTTGGTCGAAATATCTGTTTAAATCGATCTTAGGACGAAGACGAGGAAATGGCTGATGTCGCTGCTGAGGATGAAGATGCCGACGAAGGCAGCAGCAAGAAGCGCAAGGTAATCGGGATTTATGAACCACTCAGTTGCCACCAGCTCACCACCTTCCCCATAGCGTGCACCCCCGTCCAAAGCCGCCGCCAAACCTCCCTCGAAGAAGGCGAAGCCAGCTGCCACCAAGGCAAAGAAGAGCAAAGAGATTATCGAAGACGACGAAGACGAGCTCGATGACGAGTGATCTGTCGAACGCATACCACCACGGCGACCTACCGGTCCGCAGACCTCGATATCTACCTCGCCCACCCCCTTTCTTGGCTCAATTTACCTCGACTCAGCCTTAAACATTGTCGATTATATTTCCTCTTTCATTGAGTCGAAACATATCTCAACTCGGTTTAGGTCAAGTCTTCTCACTGCACTTTAATTGCATTTTCTTAGTCGGTATCCTCGCTGTCCTGTCGTTGTTGTTTCTGTACTATTATTTAATGCAATCGTTGTTTTAACTTTCCACCGAATTGTCCATTTCGTCGTTCAGTGTTTCGTGCTTTGGCACTTCAGTGCGATCTGTAATGAAGTTTGACAATTCATGCACTCAAAACATGAGTCCTGACGGAGCGTTGCCGCCAGAGAGAAAAAAATGGTTCAATCCAGGATCGAACTGGAGACCTTCTGTGAACCGAAGACAAGCTTCAGCAAATCTCAATGTGAGACAGAAATCATAACCACTAGACCATTGAACCGATGTGAGAACACGTGCCTAGAGTATAATCAGCAAAGTACGTATGCCTCTGGGAATTGAACCCCGGATATGCTCAACGATACGGTGTTCGAGCATCGTCTCGTCAAGCTTAGAATTCAGACCTTATCTCAGCCTTGACGAGTGGCGTTGGGAAAGGCTGCTTCGACTTAAGTTGGCTTTTGCACAGCTGTAGTTCCTGACTACGTACAAGCATCCGCATCAGACGGCAGGGTCGTCGGGTCGTCTTTGGAGGTCTTTTGGTCTTGGAGCATTTTTCCTGTCGAAGACATGAAAGATGCCTTCCCGGAGACGAAGCCGCCAAAGACAACCCTATCATTTCCTGATGCAATGACATAAAATAAATAAATAAGCGCCCTCCCTTTCTCAACTGGTTTCCCGTCCATCATCCACGAGTGATTTGCCTGCTCAGCATTTTTCTTCAACCCCTCAACTCAGATTAGCGTGCTCTGTCCAATGGATTATGCTGCTTACCGGTTTGTTTTTCTGGTGGCTTTTCAGACCAGCTGTATACTATTGCACAGGTTCGAGTTCAATCACTCGCGGCCCTACTCTTTTCCTACCATTACCGCCTGGTTTTTCTGTCTTGCATTTGAAATGTATTTCCTCTGAATCTCGTTCAAAGGTCCATTGGGAATTGAACCCTAGACCTCTGCCATCCGGCAACTGATGTGGAAATTTAGTGGGATTGTATACCGAGAACAAAATTTTTATTTTTATTTCTACACTTCTCCCGAAAGGCTGCTTCACTTCATTCACTTCCTGGAAGCGTAAATGGGCGAAAAAAGGGCCTCACTGGGAATTGAACCCAGGACCTCTTCCAATTAAGTAAGCTCAAAGGAGCGCCCAAAGGAAGAATCATGCTACTAGACCATAAGGCCGATGAAAGAGTGGCCAAATGATCCGCACATAACGCGTCAGGCCTTGCACTTTTCAAAACTAACATGCGCAAACACGAAAACATTTAAAAAGCTTCATTCCACCGATTTCCTCTTCTCTACGACGCTTTGCCCCCCTTCCAGACGCCAACCTGAGCGAGGACGGGTCTTCCATTTTATCGACGTCGGAGAGCATCTTTGTCGGGCTTCGCTTTCGCTAGCAACACTAGCCTTGTCTCAAGGCCATGATGGATTTCTAGATAGTAGTGAAAGCTACAGATGTACCACCACCTGCGTATCCTCAAAGAAAATTGCATGTTACCTACTTTCGAAGGATTGTCATTTCGAAGGATCGGCCCAAGCTCCCAGAACGTTGTAGGGCAGTCAATATTATGGACACAGGACTCTGTCGTCGTTGGCGCGGATTGATTATGGTCATTGTCGGGCTACAACGATATGTATGGCCTTCTGAGTCCAAGAAAAACGAGGAAACTTCTCCGCATTCAAGGTTTCGCGATTCTCTCTAAATGTAGCTATTGCGAGGTTCAATACTATGGTACGACGCTAACCACAACCTCAACCACGGGGGGCATCTCCGGATTCACGGTTTTGCGATTTTTGCCTTGCTTAGCATTGCTACTCAAAGATATGTGGTGATGCAATATTATTGCCAAAATGAAAGCTGCATGCGACAAAACGGAATTTACGCCTTTGCGGTACCAGCAGCTGCCTTCGCGTCCTCCGCGGCAGCAACGGCAGGGTTGACCTTCTTTCCATCCTTCCATCGGACACGAGGAGGTGGGGCACGGTTGCGACGACCCTCGCGAGAACGGACACGGACGACTAGGGATTCCAAATATCAGGATACCGAGATAAATACACATAAAAATGGATGTGCTCACCATGCGAGTGGATAGCGCATGATACGCAGTATGCGATTTTGATGTACAGTTTGGGGATTGTGTATTCTGAAAGGAATTGCAGGGATAAGGATACGATGCGAAGAGTAAGATCGAAGGATAATCACCAGGATAAATACTGGCTTCGCTGATATCACGGACGGCAGCACTCTCCACCATGTTTCTCACTGTGAAACGCTTGATAGCCTTGTCCTTTCCAACGCAACGACTGCAGTTGGAGCAACGCATGAGGGTGACACGGCCACGACCCTTCTTGTTACGGCCGCCATTTCTTCTTTTCTTGGTCTACAAATCGCAGAAAGAAAATTAGCATCCATGTTTACAGATCGCCTAGGCCATCCACACGACATCCAAATCTCTCATCGCACATCCAGCTCAAAAGCCATTTGGAACGGCGCAGATTTCGCAGAGAGGCCTCACGACATGTATCTGAGTGGATAGACGCTGAAAAAACTCACCATCTTTGGTGTCGGTGTCGAGAGGCGATGTGTTGGGCGACGACGACGAGAGGTTTGTCAGTGTGCTTGGAACTTCGGATGCATCCGTTCTCACACAGCGGCCTGGCTCGCCGACCGGCCCGTTGGATAAGCTTTTTATTTTAGGAATACAATGGTTGAACGTTGACCACAGCAAGCCTCAAGGCAACTGCGGCCAGTGTGTGATCGGTTGCTACCAAATTGCCTTTTGTTCTTCATATAAGGTCCCGGGAATGATACCAACCTTCAACGACTCCGCAGACGCCCCTGAAGTCCAACCTTTCCCCCTTCCTTTTTTCCCTTTCATTCCGACTCTAGATTTTGAGCCTGGCGCTCATCGTTATCGGATTCTAAGACCTTACGACGTTCCTTTTGACGACACGGCCCGTCCGCCAACTTGAAATTCATCATGTTCTACCAGGCTGTTGTTGCCTTCCTTGCTTTTGCATTCACATTCGTTCAATCCGCCCCTACCGCAGCACTGGACGCTGCTACCCTTTTAAAAAATGGCCAGGAAGCGCAAAATCTCAATGCCCAGTTCAAGACCATCAAACTCTCAGATGCTTGTGGTGGCACAGGTCGGAAATTCGCGAGACGCAATTTCGCCTTTTATGCTAACGTTGGTCTCGTTGTAGGTCTAACAGCTGCTTGCGTCGGGAATGCTATTTCTAATTGCGTTAATAACGCCTGGAATTCCACCAACGGGGCTTGTTCCAAGTCGCAGCAATGCTTTGCGATTCCTAATGTTCAATCAAATGGAACGGTATGTCGACGATGATCCTTCATTTGTAACATTCAACTTAATTATTATCTCCTAGACTTTAACGTGCACAAGCGAGAAAAATGCCCTTTCTGTCATCAACGCGTCAGGCGCCAAAGGGGGCATCGCGGGTGCCGACGCGTCAGGTTCTACCAATGGAACAGATTCGTCTTCCTCCTCAGATCCATCCAGCAGCTCAACTGCTGTCGAACCTTCCGGAGCAACACCCTCCCCCTCACCCGAATCCTCCGCAACACCCACTGTAACCGTCACTGTTACCGTCACCCCGAATGCAACCACGCTTCCAGCCACAATCCGCACCCTTTCTCCGCAGGAAGCGTCCAGCGCGCTCTCTAGCATCTTAGCTCAGGGCACGTCTATTCCTTCTTCCGCGTCTGCGACGTCCATTGATAGCGCATCCCCAACTGCTACAACTTCCCTGCCTCCATCCACTATCATCCTTTTGACTGCCGCGCCCGAGACGTCTGCATCTGCATCGCTCTCAGCATCAGCGTCCACGGCAAGTACTTCTGCGTCAACCACTATTATCCTTTTGACTGCCGCGTCCGAGACATCTGTGCCTCCTTCACTCTCAGCATCAGCGGCCGCGGCAAGTATTTCTGCGTCGTCTGATAGTTCTGGTGGCTATGGGTATGGAGGTTATTGATTGGTGCACTCCTTGCGAACATTATATTCAGCTTGGGACCCTTTGGGACCTTTGACGTGACCTCAGTTCATATGTAGCAACTCTTGCATGCTGTATTTCTATCGATCCTATGTCTGCACTAAAGACAAGTTCTCTCCTCTTTTATCGCTGCCTGTGGGTCTCAGAAAGAGAAAGAAAAATCAATGTGGTGCAGCACCCTATAAAGCCCCCACAATTGCGCAAGCTCAAACGTTGAATGTGCTGCTTTCCCAGGCTTTCCAACTCATCATTCACTTTTCTTGAAGCGTTTATCTGGAGCTTGTTTGGCGCTTGTTGGCCCTGGGTCCTGGTGGCTGTTATATGTTGCTATATGCGATCCAGCTGTTCCTGATTCCAACCATTTTCCATGATTGTCGGGCATTTACGTTGTGACCAATAACTTTGGCGCCATGTAAGTAAGTGTACATACAATGCCTCGAGAATTGGGATCAATTCTGACTTCTCCCTTCCGGACGAACGGTTTTTAGAAATCTGCGGGCTGCAGGGATTCGTCTCTCATTCGTAAAGACACCGCTGGTCTTGGTGTCACCTGGTTCTACTGAAAGGCGACTCTCGGCTGTGTTTTCAATTGATTCCAGCTGACCTGCAAATCTCTACAGATGTTGCCAGGCAAGTGATAACCTGTGATAACTTCTAGTGACTTTTGGCTGTGCACGGCTGTCCACCCACACATTTTACCAACAAGGCACAAGCGCCACTGACAGGTCCGAGTCTCGAGAGTTCCGGGACGTATGCCGGATCCTATGCTCGAGGTTGGAATATCAAGAAAAAGGCTAGAAGTGGGCTGATGAAAGTCACCGCCGACGAGATGCATATATGCCAAGGCCCGAACAGAACTACATAACCTGGCAGCTCCGAGTCCCTCTGCCCCCCCTTCTTCAATCGCCATGTTTTCTTTCGGCGAACGTCTTGGGATGTTCTTTACGGTGCTCGGGGCCTGGTAGGTTCTGTCGAGCTTGATGTCCGTATCATTATTGCAGGCTTAAACCACCATTTCCACAGCTTTTCAGCAGTCTCCATCGCCCCCATCTTACTCCTCGCGGCGGTGAGTTATCATCTACCAGTCTGTGTGTATCCAGACTTTTCTAAACCACTTTATCCAGTCAAAATGGCTGAAAAGAATGGTCAAGACCTTGGGTGGCAGCTCAGGCATTCCAGACCCGATCGACAATGTTATCTTCCTCAACCTGATGATTGCGGACCTCATCAGAGCAATCGGTTTGTAGCACCGCGAAATTTCTGCAGCCAGAAACACTAATAATGTGTGGCTTCTAGGCAATTTGGTCATTGTCAAATGGATGCTTGACGGGGTGTGTATCAGTTTCTGCGTGTTCGAAATTAAACAGATCCTGACATATCATCATTTGAGTTTGAAGGACGTAACAGAAGGACCCCTTTGCACGTTTCAGGCGGTGATAAAGCAGTTTGGCAGTACTGGAATGGCATTGATGTACGTCCTTCATGGCGGTTGTTCTCGATGTTTTTCGTGATCCAAACTTCTCTTGCAGGTCCTTGGTGTGTTACTATCATTGAATCCATAATTCATTTTTCACATCGGAAATGAACAGGCTATCGCCGTGCACACGTTCTCCGTACTCGTCCTCCGCTGGCAGGGACCAGAATATATTTCGAAGCTTGTGGTTCTAGGGATCTGGGGCTTCACCGCCCTCGTCATTGGAGTGACCTACAACGCCCATAAGAACGAGCGATACTACGGAGAGGCGACGTACTGTGAGTAATGTGTATGTTGGTTGTAGTCCACTTTCTTAACCGGGTCGACGTTCAAGGGTGTTTCGTGCGACAAGGATTCAAGACGGAGCAACTTTTAACTGAATACCTATGGGTATGGGTGTCTGCATTACTGATGGCCATCCTATATTGCATCATGTTCCTCGTGATGCGGGAGTGGTTCATCGTCGACAACGGAATATACTGGCACAAGACATACAAGCAAAAGTTTGGCGATGTCAAGCAGGCAGACGAAACACCAGAAGAAAAGAATTCAAAAGAGGTTGCCAACATGATGTTGTAGTGAGCATTTTCGAGGCTAGCGCCCAAACATTGCAACGTTAAACGATTTTTTTTTCGTGCTCAGCTACCCTGCGGTGTACATCATCTGTATACTGCCCCTCAGCATTTCC